CACAGCCCAAGACACTCCGCCATCCCCTCCCAGGCAGGCCTTCTGCACTTAGAGGTCTGGGATTGCCAGCATTGCTATCCTGAACTCTGGGGGAGGTGGTGGGGGCCCACACTGCCACCTCTCCTCTGCCTCCTTCAGGCCGGGAAGGGAGGGCCAGGTTGTTCTCTAAGAGAAGCTAAGATCCTCTCTAGACCAAAGGCGGGCAAGTGGGGGTCCATCCCCCTCCTCCCACCCCTGTTTGGCTTTTCCTCGGCTGGCGCCCAGCCTGCAGCCCACACAGGCCCAGCACCTCTAAGTAATGCAGGCACACGCAGGCTCAGCCCCAAAGCCCCAGCTCAGCACAGCCCCCACAGCTCGCCTTAGGATCAGTCCCTGCTAATCTGGGGCAGCTGCCCAGGACTCACCCCACCCCCCACCAAGGGAGCCGAGTCCTGAGCACGGAGCTCAGGGCAGCCCCACATGCCCGCTGCCCAGCCCAGGCCCTTCGTACGGAGCCCCGGGGACAGGTGGGACCCCAGCTCAGGTGTTCCAGATGGTTCTGCTGGGCAGAACGAAGGCCCTTCCTCGTAAGAAAACCGATGCCAGTGGTTGGGGGGATTGGGGGCTGAGGGTGGCCTCAGGGTGGGCAGTGCTAGTTTCCTGGGACAGTTCTCTGCTCGCCCCTCCTGACATGGGAGCTCCTCGGGGTAGCAGGAACTTGGGTGCGTTGGCTGTGATGTGGCCAGGAGGGCCCCCCAGAGGGGACTGTGGGTCACAGGATTTCCCCAGAGCCCGACGCCAACTGTGTCCTCACCAGGAAAGACCAGGGCAGGGCCACACCGTCCCCCACGCGGCCAGGTTTCAGCAAAAAAGACCCTGTCCCCAGCAGGCACCCCAGTCACCCCTGCTGCCCCTCCCCTTATTGTTGTTGGCTGGTGAGCCCCCCGAGTCCCGAGGACAGTTGCACAAAAGAACCTGGCACCACCCGCCCCCTTCCTCCCCCTCAGAACATTGAAGTCCACAGGATTGTTGTTGGCTAGTTTGGGGGCCAGATCTCCAGGCCTTTCTCCCTGCTCTCATCTGGAAGCTCCAGTGGGAATGTTTGGAGCTGAACCCAGTCTCCTGTGGAGGGCACATTGCTACAGCAAAGCCACCATGGCCTGACTTTTTTGAAGCAAAAAAGGAAATACAATTTACACCCCACGGCTTGATGCCACACATTGCGACTCTGCAAGCCCAGGCAGATCGGCCCCATCAGGTGACCACGGCCGGCTGCCCCTGGGGAGCTGACTCCCAAGGTGCTCGTAGACTTCAACAGCCAATAACTTAACTGCTGCCCACCGGGCGCCTTTAGAAAGGGCTTTGGGAAAAATCACCCAAACCCACCTCCATTGAGTCCATGTGGCCAGTGTAGAGCTGCCCTGTGGGTGTCTGAGACTGACCTACAGGACAGGGTAGAGCT